AGTTGGGCTCTGAGGGTTTTTCCCTGGAGCTGTTTTGTTTGGCGTTTGTAGTTCTAAAAATAAAGTTAGTTTCTTTTTGACAAGTGGCTCCTGATTTGTGCCAAGCCAGACTTCGGCAAAGACCCTGTCTCAAAATATAAAATAAAAATGACTAGGGATGTAGCTCAGTGGTAAAGCACCCCTGGGTTCAATCCCTAGTACAAAAAAAAAATGTGATCAATAAATTTTAGTCTTGGAAGCTCTGAAACAATTATTGTTATAATCATAAAGTATCCACTAATTCAAATGGATACTGATCAGAAAAGTTTCCCTAATCACTTCTTCAACCCCCATTTTCACAACCCCAAAACTTGTCTCAATTCTTGTGGGTATCAATCATGTACCTTCCCAGTCAGCCGCAGGGTCTCATATTACAAAGAGGAATAGTGTATTGAAACTGAAGGCTCCCATGCCCCATAAGATACAATGATTTGATTCCTGAAAAGAATGTCAGGTCTGTGTTTAGTGTAAATGATTCTTTGTCTGGGCTGTGCTGGTATTCCATAGGACCCACCCTCTGCAAGCCTGGAAGCACTGGGCATGGTGGCTTACCTGTAATCCCAGTGGCTGGGGAGGCTGAGGCAGGAGGATCATGAGTTCAAAGCCAGACTCAGCAATTTAGTGAGGCCCTAAGCAATTTGGTGAGGCCCTGTCTCTAAGTAAAATAGAAAAAAGGCCGGGGAGTGGCTCAGTGGTTCAGTGTCCCTGGGTTCAATCTCTAGTACAAAAAAAAAAGCAAGGAAGCATGTGTCATGGGGCAGATAGACTACTGTTGCAAAACTTTTATGCTTAACTGATACAAAAGTGCACAGCTTAGTATCACAGAAGTTAGGCTGTACACTTTCTTCCTTCTTAAGGGGTCTCTATATGTTGCCAAAGCTAACCTTGAATTCCTGGACTCTTGGAATTCCTCCTTTTCTCAGACTTCTGGCTAGCTGGGATTATAGATACACCCCACAGTGCCCAGCTAGACAGTAGTTTTTACATTGAAAGCTTTCTTATTAGAAAATTTCCATTCCAAATCACATAATTTCTCTGACTCAGTTTAGTTCAAAATTTTTTATTTGCAGTGTGGGAGATTGAATCCAGGGCCTATACTCATGCCAAGCAAGCACTCTGCCAATAAGCTACATCCCTAAACATTTTTTTTATTTTTTAAAATAATTTTAGCTGTAGATGAAAAAAAATCTTTGTTTTTTAATGTGGTGCTGAGAATCGAACTCTGTGCCTTACACATGCTAGGCAAACACTCTACCACTGAGCCACAACCCCAACCTATCACAACCATTTTTAAAAATGTTTGTTTTGAGACAGGGTCTAGCTAAGTTGTGCTTGCCTCCATCTTGGATCTTCTTGTCTCAGCCTCCTGAATAACTGGGATTACAGGCATGAGTTACCTCTGGTTTCAATTCAGATTTTGGATCTTGCCCCATGACCAATTGGTTTTTACATAGAAGATATCGATATCCAATATTGTGGTCCCTTTTTCTGTTTAACATTATTTCATAAAACTGTCCTTTCAATTTCAAAAAGAAAAGATTTCCTATAATCACTTCACATTAGTTTTCAGTTTGATGAGTTACTTCTTAGGAAAATTCCTGAGGCCATTAAGCTACTAATAGACTTGATTTGGAATTTTTACAGGAAATCTATGTGTCTTCAAAAATCCAAATCAGATAGCCTGGGGATGTGGCTCAGTGGTCTACCACTTGCATGTGTGAGGCCTGGATTTGATTTCTAGCACTGCAACAACAACAACAACAACAACAACAATCCAAGTCATTTAAAAACAGTATAAAATGGTGCTGCAACACAATTCACGATAGCCAGATTATGGAATCAACCCAGATGGCTGTCAACAGATGAATAGATAAGAAAATGTGGTATATTTACAAACTGGAGTTTTACTTGGCCATAAAGAAGAATGAAATAATGTCATCTTCTGAGAAATGGATGGAACCAGAGAACATCATACTGAGTGAAATAAGCAAGACTCAGAAAATCAAGGGCCAAATGTTTTCTCTCATAAGTGGAAGTAAGAGCAAAATAAGATAAAGAAGGTAGTTGGGGAGGGGACCAGATATCATAAGACATAAGGAAGATCAGTGGAGTAGGAGGAGAAGGAGAGGGAGGGAGGAAGGGAAAGGGGAAGAAATATGGAATGAATTCAACAAAATCATGTGATATACATTTGTAAATATACCAAAGGTAATTTCATCTTTATATATACATAGAAAAAGCATATAAGGGGCTGGAGCTGTAGCTCAGTGGCAGCATGTGTGAGGTACTTGCCTAGCATGTGTGAGGCACTGGGTTCGATCCTCAGCACCACATAAATAAATAAATAAATTAAATAAAGACTTGCTGTCCATCTACAACTATATTAAAAAATAAAGAAAAGAATGGAGTTTTTGTGAAAGTGAAAAACAAACAAAAAGCGTTTATCTTATTCTTTGCCTTCTGGTATGCAATTATAAATTTGTAGGAGAAAAGAAGTACCAATCAAACATAAATAAATAAAGGAGTGAAAGAAAGATCATCAGAGTAGAGGAGGGAGAATAGGAGGAGAGAGAAGGGGAGGGAAAGTGGGGGGAATTTGGGTTGAAATGAAGGTTAGGGGCTGGGGATGTGGCTCAAGCGGTAGCGCGCTCGCCTGGCATGCGTGTGGCCTGGGTTCCATCCTCAGCACCACATACCAACAAAGATGTTGTGTCCGCCGAGAACTAAAAAATAAATATAAAAACACTCTCTCTCTCTCTCTCTCTTTAAAAAAAAAAGAAATGAAGTTTAAAAAATAGTGCTACAAAAGTGTACAGACTGGTATCACAAAAGTTCATAAGCAAAAAGAGACCAACTACTTGGGAGGCTGAGGCAGGAGGCTTGCAGTCTGAGGTCAGCCTGGGAAATTTAGTGAGACTCTGTCTCAAAATTAAAAATAAATATCAGTGGAGAACACCCATAGATTCCATCCCCAGTAGCATGCAAAAAAATTATAAAATGAATATAAATACTGATCATTAACCCTATTGCTTCGCTAGTAAATGAAAGACTGGTTCAATGGGCTGGATAACTAATGGGTTCCAGTTTCCTTTAGTTGGAGCACATTGGTGGAGATGTGTGACTGGGGAATTAAATATGCAGTTTTTCTTTGGGCTGCTAATTTGATTGGAGAGCATCAGGCTCAAGTCATTAACATAGAATTTGTGCTTTCTAAGTTAACTAGAAAATATGGGCATAAATATCATAGCTCACTCCTAATTGCAATAAACCCTCCTTATTTTGCTTGGGATTTCAAAAAAGAAAAGAAATCATATTTTTTGATGTGTGTATATATATATATATGTATATATGCATAAAGTACATACATTCATATACATATACATGCCTATATAATTATACAGACAAAACACACGAAACACATGCAGAATTGTGTGTTGTTCACATGGTTACTCAGTGAAACATATCCTGTGTTCCGTGGACTTTCTCTTCAGGTATTTCAAGTTCGAATCTGAGAAAGGACTTGATCTACGCACCTTAGATTTGATGAACCTCTGTCGGAACTGAACACATGCGCGGACCCAGTTTCCAGACCGGCTTATTTATACTGGTACCTGCCCCTTCCGGTTGGGAGGAGCCCTTAGGTCTGGGGAAGGTATTTGCTGACGTACCCGGAACTGTTTCCAAGGTTTCTTCAGGTTTGGGAGGTTGCTCGGCGGCGAGTTGTGGGAGCCAAGGCAACCGGGAATCTTCCCGGGGTCACAAGAGCGCCCCCTTGGCCCTCAGCTTCAGGGGCACAGCTGCGGTAATGGCTCCAGTGTCCAGTTCCCGCAGCCCTGAGCGGGAGGCCTCTGGCTCCGGAGGAAGACGCCGCAGTTCGTCGAAGAGCCCCAAACCCAGCAAATCTTCCCGCTCCCCGCGGTGTCGCCGGTCGCGCTCGCGTTCTTGTTCTCGGTCTGGTGACAAGAATGGCCTAAGTCATCAGCTGGGTGGTCTCAGCCAAGGTTCCCGAAACCAGTCGTACCGCTCGCGCTCGCGTTCGCGCTCTCGGGAGCGGCCCTCTGCGCCACGGAACACCCCTTTTGCTTCTACCTCCTCGTCCACGTATTATGGAAGCTACTCACGCCCCTACGGGAGCGACAAGCCGTGGCCTAGCCTTCTGGACAAGGAGAGGGAAGAGAGCCTGCGGCAGAAGTGAGTGAGCTCGCCGCATCTTTTCTTGTATGAGCCACCCCCCCCCCCCGCCTTTCGAGTCCGATTTATCGTTCATTGTGTTTCTGACTATTCGCATTTCGTTCTGCCTGTCTTGCACCCATTTTCGTCCCTTTCTTCATTCCACTCACGGCAACCTTATATTCCGCCTTTATTTCCCATATATTTTCACTTGTCGGCGGGTCCCTTTATACAGCGCCCTATTTTATCGCTGTCCCCTTACCCGCTCCTGGCTTGTTAGCAGACGTCTCCAAGAGCCTCAGATCTACTGGAATTATAGCATTTACTTGGCTGTGTCATTATCAGTCGTGAGCATGATTTTATTGCTCACAAACTGAATTCATGGAAAGAAGGATCACTATTCTGTTGGTTCCAGAATTCGACATGCAATCAATCATTGCTTGAGTGGAGAAACAGACAAGTTTGAGATAACGGAATATATCAATGGAAATGTTTTGTACAGAATTGGAAAGAGTTGAAATTAAGGATTTATATTGCACAAGATAATTACATGAATGTGGGGGAAATGATCTGCTTAGCTGTAGATGTAGTTACCTTAAGAAAGATCTGGGTAAGTGGTCTCAATCTTGTTGGTGAAAAATGATGTCAGGGTGAGATTGGGTCTCCTCTAATAAGAATGAATATTGGAGTGGGAAAGTGCCTGGTTTAAGGAAGAGGAAGAGGCTTAGAATCATTGCTGTGTGACTCACAATATCTAATATTTATTAAACATTATGTGTTGGGCATTGTACTAAGCCATGCACTATGTGTTTAAGAAAGGAGAAGTCCGAAAGTATTACAGGCATTGAGGGGCAAATTAAAGTTCCAACAGTTGGGAGATGGCTTCATGATTCTTTTTCTTCCAGCAATGGGAACTAATAAAGTATAGAGATGAGAAGGACAGGCTCCAGAATCAGACTGTTTGAAACCTTTGTTATCCACCTAATAGCAGTGCAGCCTTGTGAAAGTTAATTTAACCTCTGTGAACTTCATTTCTTCACCATTAAAAAGATGCTGAGGCTGGGATATAGCTCAATGGTAGAGTGTTCACTGAACATACTTGAGGCCCTGAGTTCCATCCTGAGCATTGTTAAAAAAAAAAAAAAAAAAGCAGGCTGAGGGTATGGGGGTAGATAAAATTAGTACCATGTCTTTTAAGGTTGTAATAATTTAGTGCCTGGAACATAATAAATTTTCCATAACTGTTAGCTATTAGTGCCTCATGCATGGAAGCAGAAAATAAAAACAGTCCTGAATTAGGTTAAAAGACCTACCCAAGTTAAATTGTTCAGAAAAGTATCCATAGAATATATCACTCAAAAAGCAAATGGCTTCTTGCTGGTGAATCCTCACCAAAAAATGTCAGAACTGCTTAAGTGATTTTTTTTTAAATTTTAGTTATAGGTGAGCACAATACATCTATTTATTTATTTATTTTTGTGTGGTGCTGAGGATCAAACCCAGTGCCTCACATGTGCTAGGCAAGCGCTGTACCACCAAGGTACAACCCCAGCCCCATGCTTAAGTGAAATTTGCATTTGTACATTTAGAAGATAAGTAATTTGTCTTAACAGTGCAGATGAAGCCAGATGGCAACAGGTATAAGAACAGGACTTTATGTTCTTCAGAGTCTGGCAGCATTCTTTCCCCTATATTTGTATATTCTAAATACAGTTACAAGTATGGCCCCTTTTGGACTGTTTCTTCAAAGTGGCAAACCCTTTGAGACTGACTCTGTATAGCTATATCTTTTCCCCTGAATAAAGAAGTAAAAAATTCAAACCAATTATGTTTATTTTGAAGGATTATTAAAAACAAATGGAATCTAAAACAGCTAAACTTTGAGGAATTGAGCCTTAGGGTTTTATTTTTCAGTATATGAAAAATAGCAAAAATTAAAACAGAATAAATCACAAACATCATAAAACAAAATAATTAAACAATTTTAGTGTCCTCTAAAGAACAGAGAATGTACTCCTTTTCCAAAAAGGAGCTAAAGGGAAAACTGAGGGAACAAACCTGACATCTCATTGAGTATAATATTTGTCAAATAATTTTTTTCTTTTATTTTCAGAACTCCCTTTATTTTCTAATTCTTCATTTTTATTTTCTTTATTAATTCTTAGCTTCCTGAAAACTGAAGGTTTGACTAAATCAAAAGAGACTTCTTTTTTAATCATGAATGAACAAAGTTATTTCAAAATGTAAAACATTCTGTCACATATTACAATGAAGTGATCAGTTAGAAGCTGTGCCATGCACTTGGCATAGGGATGCCCTGGACAGTCTCCCAAGCTATTGTTTCTTATCCAGGCACTGAGGCTATCTGTAGTTTGTACCATTTGATAGGATTACGAGAACATCAACTCCTATGTGATTAATTTCCACTTAAACCAGGTTTTTATTAACTTTTAAAACATAAGGAAAGTCAGGCTCCTATAGTCTCAGAAGCCTGTGAGGCTGAGGTAGAAGGATCACTTGAGCCTAGTAGTTTGAGGCTAATCTGAGCAAAATAGGGAGACCCTGGCTATAAAAAGAAAAAAATATAATAAAACATTGGGAAAATAGGATTTAACCGGACTCTTATTGAATTTGATTGTACATTTAGGAAATAATCCATCCATGAGTTATAATTTAAATGTTTATATCCTCTAGGAGACTAAGTGAGAGAGAGAGGATTGGAGAATTAGGAGCTCCTGAAGTATGGGGACTTTCTCCAAAGAATCCTGAACCTGAGTAAGTGATTTAAAAATATGTTATAACGTTAATTTAAATCCTGATTCTATTGTGAACTTTTTTTTTTTAATACCAGAGATTGAACCCAAGGGCACTTAACCACTGAGCCATTTCCTCAGCCCTTTTTTATATTTTATTCAGAGACAGGGTCTTGCTGAGTTGTTTAGGACCTTGCTAAATTGCTGAGGCTGACCTTGAATTCATGATCCTCTCAACTCAGCCTCAGGGTGCTGGGATTACAGGTGTGCACCACTACGCCCAGCTCTATGAACATTATGGTTAAGTGAAGAACTTTACATCTCAGTTTTTTTTTATTTTCTTATGATTTGTGCTATTCTACTCCTACGTCTTAAAAATGTAGAACAAGCTGGGCACTGTGGCATATGCCTTAATCTCAGTGACTCAGGAGGCTGAGACAGGGAGATTGCAACTTTGAGGCTAGCCTCAGCAATTTAGCCAGGCCCTAAGCAACTTAGTGAGACCCTGTCAAAAAATTTAAAGAAAGGTGGGGGTTGGGGATATAGCTCAATGGTAAAGTGCCTCTGGATTAAATTCCTAGTACCAAAGAATAAACAAATAAATAAAAATAAAAACGGAACATATCTAAGGATTAAACATGTTGCTAGTGGACTTTAGCATGCTAATTGTTCTGTTTAAATTGTAATCCATGCATCTAATTTCCTATTTATAGAAAGGTTCAGTGTTAATATACATTATTTTGAATTATTGTTCTCCACTAACCCAGTTTCAGATTGCATGGCAGTTTATAGCATTACAAAGAAATTTCTTTAAAAATGAACATCAAAAAAGAAAGAAAAAAAGAAAAATGAATATATTGGGCTGGGGTTGTGGCTCAGAGGTAGAGTGCTTGCTTGCCTAGCACACTTGAGGCACTGGGTTTGATCCTCAGCACCACATAAAAATGAAATAAAGATATTGTGTCCACCTACAACTAAAAAAATAAATATTAAAAAAATGAGGGCTGGGTTGTGGCTCAGTGGTAGAGCGCCTGCCTTGCATGTGCAAGACACTGGGTTCGATCCTCGGCACCACATAAAAATAAATAAATAAAATAATGGTATTGTGTCCATCCACAACTAAAACGAACAAACAAATTTAAAAAATGAATATATTAGTATGGATTTGTTCAGTTGATTTTCCTATATCCAATACTATCTGAAGGTGTGATGCTTTTTCCCCTTATTTTGTTTCTTTTGGTACTACTCATAAGTTTTTTCTTCCCTCTTCTGTATTTCTTTGTCTACTTTAATTTGAATTGAGACAATTAAAATTGCCTGACAGGTAAACTATAATTTGTGGCAGGATGAAAAGCATTATTATCTGAAACTTGAGAGCTAGGTGGGGTACTAGGGATTGAACCCAGAGCACTCTACCACTGAGCTACATCCTCAGCCCTTTTTATTTTTTATTTTGAGTCAGGGTCTTGCTAAGTTGCTGAGACTGGCCTCAAAATTGTGATCCTCCTGTCTTAGCTTCCCTAGTACCTGGAATTGCATTTGTGCACCTCCACACATAGCTTGAAACTTGTTCTTATAGATACCTTTGGAGAAAGCTTAAAGAACCTGAACTCAGAGAATTAGAGTTGGAAAAAACTCTAGAAATAATTTTTTAGACAATTCCTAAATTATTCCAGGTTTTATTTTCAGAGGAAAAGATTATATGATGTGGAAACTCTCCTTCTGAACTATTTTAAAGATTTTATTAATTCTCACTTTCAGAATTCTCTGCAAATGAATGAAATCTCTTTAGACTAGTTTATTAGGTTCTTCCTTCTCTGGGGAGGCAGAGCAGTTGTTGCTTTATCATATATCCTTTACACACTTTGAATAAAATCCTGGGGCAGGGAAGGTAGCTTAGTGGTAGAGTGTTTGCCTAGCATGCTTGAGGCCCTGGATTCTGTCCTCAGCCTTTCCAAAAGACAAAAAAGGTAAGAATAAAATCCTAAAGTCTCCAGGCACAGTGGCACATGCTCAGGAGGCTGAGGCAGGATCATAAGTTCAAAGCCAGCCCCAACAAAAGCAAGGCCCTAAGCAACTCAGTGAGACCCTGTCTCTAAATAAAATTCAAAACAGGGCTGGAGATCTGGCTCAGTGGTTGAGTGCCCGAGTTCAATCCCCAATACCCATCACCCCCTCTCCCCCCCCCCCCGCCTTAAAAACAATCCTGAAGTCTTTCCATAGTCTTTCATCTTTCCTTATGGTTTCTATTCCTTTTTCCCTGTGGTTTCTTCTGAAATTATAGATTTTTCTGTGTTTTGTTTGAATAACACTTTATAAACCCTGTAGAATGATGGAAATGCAAGAATTTTTTTTATTATGAAGGTAATAGACCCTTGAAATATGCTCTTACAAAAATGGTCCTGTGCTTACTTTTATGGTTCTTAGGCAATCAGTGTTGTTACTAAAAATTTTAAGGCTCTGTTTAATACTCCTAGGTCCATATTTCATCACTTTTCTAATTCTTACAACCATTTTCTTTAAATTAGCTCTGATGAACATACACCAGTAGAGGATGAAGAGCCAAAGAAAAGCACTACTTCAGCATCTAGTTCAGAAGGTATTTTTTAAATATAGAACTTTTTAATTGATTTTATTTTTATTTTTTTTAATATTTATTTTTTATTTGTACACAATATATTTATTTTGTTTATTTACTTTTATGTGGTGCTGAGGATCGAACCCAGGGCCTCGCACATGCTAGGCGAGTGCTCTACCACTGAGCCACAACCCCAGTCCCTTTAATTTATTTTAAAAAGTAAGTTTAGGGGGGGCTGGGGTTGTGGCTCAGTGGTAGAACACTTGCCTAGCATGTGTGAGGCACTGGATTCCATTCTCAGCACCACATATAAATAAATGAATAAAATAAAGGTCCATCAACACTAAAAAATATTTTTTAAGTTTATAAGTAGTTGAACATTGGACTTTGCTTTTCTTCAGATTGCCAATCATCTATTCCTTTTCCATATTTCAAAAACAATAAAATTGACGTTTAGAAATACTTCTTTAGAAATTAGTTTTTTTAAAAAATCTGTTTCCTACAGATGAAAAGAAGAAAAAGAAGAAGTCTAGTCATTCAAAAGAAAAGTCTAAGAAAAAGAGAAAGAAAAAATCATCTAAAAGAAAACACAAGAAATATTCTGAAGATAGTGACAGTGACTCTGATTCTGAAACAGACTCCAGTGGTAAGCAAACCAACATCATTCTGCAAGCCTTTCTTCAAAACTAGTTTTTTTTTTCTTAAAATTTATTTAGAAGGACGTTGTTAAATAATAGTAGCCAAAAGTTTCTGAATGCTCCTTAATTTTATGCAGGCAGCCTGCTGTGTGCTTTATATTCATTATTGCTATTTAGTCCACACAATAGCATCTTATAGATGAGGAAATGGAGGAACAGAGCAGGTAATAAGTACCACACCTAAGGTCACATTTGGGATTCAAATGTAAACTAACTGACTCCAAATTGATTGTGCATAGTTGTACATAGCACAGGGAACCCAAACCAACTTGGGGTTAGGCTGCAAGATGTGTGGTGCCAAAGGAAACCATATAGGGCTCCATCAGTGGAGAGCTCTTTTTGTGTAATTAGCATGCCCAGTGGGCTCCACCTCTGTATAATTTTTTTTAAAAGGCATGCTATAAAGTACTCCCTTCAGGTTGGCTGCAAGGTACCCCATCTGGGGTGGTACTTCACAATAAGCCACCAAAAAGATGGCTTTTAAAAAAGTTTACTGTTTATCCGATTTATTTTATTTTTTTGGTGGTGCTGGGGATCAAACTCAGGGCCTTGCAAATATTAGGCAAGCACTCCATCAACTAAGCTACTTTCCCACCTGAATTTATTTTTAAATGTGTTCCAATTTGAGCTGGTTTTGTGGCTCAGTGGTTAGAGTGCTTGCCTGGCACATGTGAGGCACTGGGTTTGATCCTCAGTACCACATGAAAATAAATAAATAAAGGTATTGTGTTCATCTACAAATAAAAATATTTTTAAAAATGTGTTAAAATTCAACAGTGTGATATTATCTTATTTTTCTAATTATATTCTTACCTTTTTGTTTTCCTAATTTTCTGTAAATTTGTATAAAAGCCACATTTTTATACTCTCTCCTGGCTCATATATGACCAGAAGTTGCCTCCTTTGGGGTTGACACATTACATATAAGTGTCTCTTCCTCTGATGTTATCCAGGTTTCCTGGTTCCCATTGTCATTTTTCTTCCTTACTGCTGGAAGACTGAATTCTCTTAAAGTGCAAATCTAGGGCTGGGGTAGAGCTCAGTGGTAGAACCCTTGCCTAATATGTGCAAGGCCTTGGGTTCTATCCCCAGCATCACAAAAATAAAACCAACAAAAGCATAAATCTGAGGATGCCGATCCCCTACCTAAAATCTTTCAGTAGCTTTCCCTAGCCTTCAGGGTAAATTTCAGACCCTGATTGATCAGAATCCCATGTTCTTTCTCTTGACCCTGTCACTTGGTACAGAGGGACTCTTTGTACAGTCTGTCCCTTCCTCCAGCTTCACTCACTCATAGCAACCATGGGCATAGAGTACTTTTGTAATAAACTGATATTTTTTTAAACTAGCTTAAGAGTCACCTTTTCCTAGCCAACTATTCTTCAAACACCCTCCCCAAATCAGTCTGATTTCAAGATTCCTCTGTCACTCTGGATTATATTTATCTCTATACCCATCTCTCTTCTCTATCACACTGAGCCACTAGAAAATATTCTCCTCTGTACTGCAATACCATATTTTCACCTTTTTTTATCATGAAAATCTTTATAAACATTCAGAAAAGTAAAGAGAATAGCATGACTGATAGTATAATTAATACCATATTCTTATCCAAATTTAACAATTGTTAGTATTTTTGACATAATTGCTTCAAATATGTTTTTGTGTTGGTGCATTATAATTATACAGAATAGTAGGACTCATTATGCCATATTTGTACATGTGCATAACACAATCACATATGGGTCTTTTATTGAGATAGTCAAAGTAAGTTACAAATATACTTTGATGTAAATATTTCTATATGCATTTTTAAAAAGTAAGGACAACACAAAACTGTTATCTCATTCAATGAAATTAATAATACTCTATATCGACTTATACCTAGTATAACTTTAATTTTATGTTCCCAGTGCCTAGTACAGTTTCTGGCAAGTTGCAATAAATACTAGTATGAATTAATTTCTCTGTAACATCAAATGGTATAGCAATAGGACTTCATCTACTCAAAAGTATTAGGGTTTTAGAATTTAAAATTGTTTCTAATTATAATGTGTTTTAATTTACAGATGAAGTTACAAAGAGGAGAGCAAAGAAAAATAAGAAAAAGGAAAAGAAGAAGAAACACAGATCGTCAGTTTTTTTCTATAATGTTTTAGTGGAAAAGCTAAAATGTGTATAAAATTATATAAAACAGTATGATTCCCCTGTATACTCATCACCCAGTTTGAATTATTTTCAACTCATGGGCAGTCTCCACTATCACCTATTGTCTTGGAACTAATTCCAAATATCATTCCATCCATAAATAATTCACCTTTCTCTAAAAGATAGGCATTCTTAAAACACACACACACACACACACACACACACACACACACACACACACAATGTTGTTATCATGCCCAAAATATTTAACAATAATTACTCAATTCTCAGTAGTTTTTTCTACAGTTTATTCAAAGCAGAATCCAAATAATGTCTATAAATTGCAATGATTATATTTGTATAGTGTACTTCAGCATGCTCTTCTGACCTCTGTATTTCCCATACAATAATAGATCTAGAGACTGGACAAGCTTAATTTGGGCAGCTTCATAGGTGGTGCTGTCTACTTCCATTAGGAGACAAAATAATGTCTGGTTGTCTCTTTTTGCTATATGAACAGCCATTGGTTGTTATTGTCTAATCCTTTACTTCATTAGGGTTTGCAAAATGATGATAGCCTAATTCTGACTTTCCTTCTTCATTAATTAGGTAGAATAATTCTATAAAAGAAGCTTGCACTCATCAATTACCTAAATATCCTGAAGTATAGTTTGTACAGCAATTATCATCACTTGTTTTTTAAAATAATGAATTGGATTTTTTTAGTATTATGAGCTCAAAAATGTAAACACATTTAATGCATTTTAATTCATTACAAAGATATTATTAGTGCTCAAATTGGTAAGAGCTGTTCTTAAGCTGTTTTATTTCTGTTGTCTTTCTACAATGTAAGAACTATATTTCATTGTTCCCTTTAATCTCTTTTTAAATAGTGAAACATGATTTGGGTAAATATTAGAAAATTTTTAACTTAAACTTCTCTAACAAGTTTGAATTAGCTTGGAAGTCATGTTCATTACTGACTTAAAAATTAAAATGTCTTTTAACATGGGAATATTAAGTGAATTTGTATCAAATTATAATCCCTACAGGAAGAAATATAAGAAAAAGAAGTCTAAGAAGAACAGAAAAGAGTCTAGTGATTCAAGTTCTAAGGATTCTCAAGAAGAATTTCTAGAGAATCCCTGGAAGGATCGATCAAGTAAGTTCTTCTGATAGACTTTAACTCAAACAGATGAAACATTAAAGTAACCATTTGGTCAAAATGTGAATGTGTTTCTGAATATCTTTCATGCAGAGGCTGAAGAACCCTCTGATTTAATTGGCCCAGAGGCTCCAAAAACACTTGCTTCTCAAGATGACAAACCTTTGAAGTAAGTTGCAGTGTATTTATAATATCTAATGTACCTTTCAAAAAGTATGGCCGTAACTTACCTTGCCAAGTTTATCCCCCTCTACTCCCCAGGTTCCATCTGACCTGGACTACTAAAAGTTCCCTTTGTTTACAGTACATGTTTCCACTTTTGTGCCTTATTCAGCTTGTTTCTCCCCCCAACTTGCCTTTGCTTCTTCTTCCTGCCCTGTTTTCTTCCCTATCCCCAATTTCTTCCTGTTAAAAATCTTTATCCTTCAAAGCCCTTTTCAAAAAGAGGAAGCATATGCTGATTCCCAATACTTCCCCTCCACAAGTAGTTGTAATTTCTACCCCACTTTAATCCTTACAGCATATTCCATTCTTTTGTGGAAGACATTTTTTACCATGTATTATAATTATATCCTTATTAATATGTAAACTTCAAAAGAACAAAGATTATTTTTGTATTTCAAGCTTTGGGTTTAATAGGTATGCAAGAAACATTCACTGAATTAAATGAAGGGATAATAGCTTTTAAAGTCTCTTTGAATCAAAGGTAATAGATACTTGTTTCTAAATAGCATTATTATTAGTATAAGTCTAAAAATATTAATTTTAGAGATATTATTTCTCCATTTAGGGTTTTTTTGTAAGGGAAAAAGAGAAAAGGAATGAGCTAGAGGAAGAAGCAGAAATGGCAGTACCTGTAGAGATAAATAAACCTACAATTATAAACCCTGAATTTACACTCACTAATGTCAGTTCTTTTGTTTAAAATATTTATGCGTTTCTGAGTTAATAATGTAGGTCATAGTGCATTGTTCATTAATTAAAGGAATTCACATTGGGCTTCCCAGCATACTACTGCTCAGCACTGTTATTCTTGTTTGAAAAAAATGTTTTGTGCTCTCTTTAGACGATTAGTTTTATTATATTGAGATGGTTTTTAATGGACCTTTTCTGATTCTGAATTACTTTGTAGCTATGGCCATGCTCTCTTACCTGGTGAAGGTGCAGCTATGGCCGAATATGTAAAAGCTGGAAAACGTATCCCACGAAGAGGTGAAATTGGCTTGACAAGTGAAGAAATTGCATCATTTGAATGCTCAGGTTATGTAATGAGTGGTAGCAGGTATGTTCTTGGCATTGAATTCAGTTTCCATGATTAGCTCTTTTCCTTTTCCTTCTACAAGAATAATATTTTGGTGATTGGAAATTGGAGTATAAATATTGGTTTGATATTGGCTTTTTGGTATAAACATACTTAGCTAACATTCCAGGTTTATATAAAACTTAGTCTCAAACTCAACTATAACCCTAACTTTGAAGAATCACTATTTCCTGTGTCCTTTCCTAGTTCATTTTTTGATACAGATATTTTATCCATTGGAAGATATAGTGAAGTTTAACTATCTATCATAGTTCCACAAGGAATGTGGCAATTTAGTAGTAAGAAAAACATTTGCACAAGAAATGTTTCTTGGTTTTTGAGCTTGCTTCCAGCTGTCAATGTACCCAGTTTTATGGTAATGAATAGCAGAGAAGGATTTTGAAAGATGTCAAGTTCAGTATGCTGAAAGGAATACAAAATTAGGGAGAAGAAAGCACAGTAACCAGGGAGAACAAGGAGAGTAAGGTAATAGGGCAGAAGTACTAAAATCAAATTGAAATTTGGATTCTTTAAAACTTACTTCTTTAAAAAGTAGATAACTAGGGCTAGGGTTGTGGCTCAGAGGTAGAGCACTTGCCTAGCATGCGTGAGACACTGGGTTCAATCCTTAGCACCACATAAAAATAAAGATATTGTGTCCACCTATAACTAAAAAGTAAAAAAAGTAGATAACTATTTTGAAATGACACTGGAAGCAAATATTTGCAGAACCCCTAAAGCACACCTTCAGAATCTTGAGAATTCTGAGGACCAACATGTGAAACATCGTTTCAGAGACCTAGCACAGTAAGACAAGGAAAAGAAACCAGAGGCATAAGAATGGGAAAGAATGATATACCACAGTCATTTTTTGTGAAGTATATGTTTACATAAAAAATTCCAAAGAATCTTTAGTTGAATTATAAGTAATATAAGGGTGTAACAAATTGTTGTATATAAGGTTACTACACACAAGTAAATTGCATTTTTATATGCCATCAAAAAGCAACTACAGAATGTAATAAAATAAAAAAAGAAAACATCTTTTATAATAGTGTCAGAGATTACAAAGGACTGGGGAATGAATCTAACAAAAGATGCCCCAAACCTCTACAGGGAAAACATTATTAAGAGACATTAAATAAGACCTAAATGGTGGAGAACTGCCGTGTTCATGGATAGGAAGGCAACATTTTAAAGTTGTCGTTTCTTACCAAATTGATCTATAGATTTGATAAAATTCCAATCAAACTGTTTTTCATGAAACTTATCAAACTGGTTCTCAAATATATTTATTAGATTAAAAGGCCAAGAAGAGCCAAGTCATTTCTGAAGAAGAGTAGGGAAGGTTAGATTTTCTCTATCAGAGATGAGAACTTAGGAAACTACAGCACTTTAGAAAGTATAGGAGAACCACCAAATTGCTCAATGGAATAAAATACAGAGCCCAAGGACAACCATATGTGTATGGGACTTTGGTGTATGAAAGATATGGCATGTCAGATCAGTGGAAAAGAGGGAACTATTTAGTAAATGGAAAAAGAAAGATATGGTTATCCATATGGAAAAAGATGAAAGTAAGACCCTAAATCATCATATGTGAAAGGCAGGGCCACTAGATTAAGGACTCAAAGAGCAGATATCTTTTAGACCTTGAGATGAAGAAGTATTTTCTAAAGAAAATAAAAAGTCTACTGACCATAATATATATTGACAAATTTGCCTAGGTTAAAAATAAGAATTTGTGTTCATGAAAAGATGCATTAAAGTAAGTAAAAAGACAAGTTTCAAACTGGCATATGATCTTAGAATACACACAACTCATAGTTGAGAAAATTTAAAGAATACCTGTAAATAACACAAAAGAAAAATAGGAAAATGACACAAACAGGCATTTGTCAAAAGAAATAATACATATGCCCAATATTCACTTAAAAAGATATTCTTATTATTGGAAATAGAAATCAAGAACTTAATGAAATACCATTTTACACCCATCTGATAGACAAAAGTTGAAAGTTCTAACAATACTCATCATTTTAAGGAATGTGGACCTATAGGCTCTCTTAAATACTGCTAGTAGAGCTGGATGCAGTAAGGCATGCCTGTAATCCCAGCAGCTCAGGAGGCTGAGGTAGGAGGATCATGAGTTCAAAGCCAGCCTCAGCAACTTAGCGAGGCCCTGTCTCAACATAAAAAAATTTAAAAAGGTAGGGGATGTAGCTCAGTGGTTAAGCGCCCCCGAGTTCCATCCCTGGTACCAAAAAAAAAAAAAAAAATGGTATTATTAAGAAAAGATTGATGAGGATATTCTGTGAGAAGAATTACTGAGAAATTAAGCCAAAAATAAAATGATCTCCAGGCATCGCCGAATGGAGGCTGTGCGACTGCGGAAAGAGAACCAGATCTATAGTGCTGATGAGAAGAGAGCCCTTGCATCCTTTAACCAAGAAGAAAGACGAAAGAGAGAGAACAAGATTCTGGCCAGTTTTCGAGAGATGGTATACAGAAAGACCAAAGGAAAGGATGACAAATGAGGATTTTCCGATTGCTCAGCAGATATTTTTAATAACAAAAAAGAAAGTCTGGGTTCCATACATATACCCAAAAAGATTATTATGCTCTGAAAAAGCTTTACAGTGCTACTGTGCCTTCTATTTAACTCTTTCAATCCCTCAATAAAAAGCTGCTTATTGATATATCTTTAGTAAGTTCTTTGGGTTATTTTGGATTGACTTACAACTTTCTGGTTTAAAAATCCAAAATATGAGTGAAATCCTACTGTATTAAGGGAGGTGGCATAGAGAGAAAGAGTCAGTGAGATGAGAAACCTTAATCACATGCCATGGTTCGGTGCTACTATTGGCTCTACATGATGCTCTCCCCCATCCCACTGAACTTGTGGGAAATGATCATTCCTCTGTGTTGAATGTGTTATAAATGGACTTGATATATAGAAGCTATATAGGAGGCTATTTTTGTTAACAAAATGAAGGCTTTGCTGAAAAAAGCAAATCTGGAATTTGAAAACTGACTTGTATAATACAATATACAGTCTGCCCAGGAATTAATTAATTTTGGTTTAAGTCCCTACCTCCATTCTAAAACTAACAAACCAACATTCATACTAGCCTATGGATTTGTTTAAATGAAAATGTGAACATTAGGTGGAATTCCTAATAAATTACTTAAAAATAGTTATTTTAGGGGCTGGGGGTGTAGCTCAGTGGTAGAGCAGCAGGTGCTTGGCATGTGTAAGGCCCTGAATTTGATCTTCAGTACTGCAAGAAACAAAAAGTTCTCTCAAATATAAAGTCTTGGGAAATTTATTGCTATGCCAATATAAATTAGTATTTCTAAGTTGTACTTTAATGATAAGATAACATCTAAAAAGAGTGAGAGTCAACTACGGTCAAGAGTACTGATTGGAAAAATATAGTATTTTAACTTAGTTGTTTCAAACAGATGTAGATAAAATGATATTAAACTTTTTAACCCTATCCTTTATGTAATAGGTAGATTTCATTTTAAGCATGGTTAAAGCTTTCAGTTTATGTTTTTATATCTATCATTCATTTTAATTCTTAACTTTTATAAAAGGCCCTTATTTCATCACATTTTTGAAAGTAAAAATTGTGATCATAATATTTTTCCTTCCCTTATTTTGTTCAATTTTAGTTAGGTCACAAGTGTAAAAGGGGAGGGGCAATGTAAATTTTGATTTGTTATGGTTGGAAACTGATCTGTGTTGTTATTATGTACATAGGATGAATTTAGGTTACTGGATGATGGGTAAATTCAGACTGTGCTATTTTTAAATGCCCTCTGTCCTTATAATAGTTTAAAGTGGTTTTTTCTTTAAGGAATTTATAAGTAAAGCAGTCATATTTCATAGTATAGAGCACAGGTTTTTCTGTATGTTCTAAGAAAATGTCTACTTTTAACCCGCAACTACTGAACTAAACAGCTGTCAGCATGTAACAACATTCATGACCCCTGAACTTGAAGGGATTTGTGTTTATCCATTTTGCTGAGCCTAATAAATCTGTAGTTTCCTAAAGTTAAAAGGAAACTAGAGCTAAGCACAGTGGCACATGACTGTAATCCTAACAACTCTGGAGGCTGAAGCAGAAGGATCACACGTTCTAGGTCAGCCTCAGCACTTTAGCAAGACCATGTCTCAAAATAAAAAATTAAATAAATAAATAAATAAATAAATAAAAAGGGCTGGGGATGTAGCTCGGTAGGAAAGCAACCCTGTGTCCAGTCCTCAGTATTGCAAAAGAAAAACGGAACTAAGTTCCCAAACTTGTCTTAATCCATTTACTTCCTTATATAATAAAACCTAAAGTTTATAATTCCCACTTAAAAGTTTTATTCTCTAAGGACGTTATTTTTTAAAAAATATTTTTTACTTATAGATGGACACAATATCTTTATTTATTTTTTATGTGGTGCTGAGGATCAAACCCAGTGCCTCACACATGCTAGGCAAGTACTCTACCACTCAGCTACAACCCCAGCCCCAGGACATTATTTTTAGTTGGCATGGTAGTTTTAACTGCAGCAATTTTGTGATATCCGAATATTGTGAATTTTTATTTGATTCTCTTGTGTCCTCCAGAGAGTAGATGCTCAACAACTGTTTGTTGAGTAAATGAAAGAAAAGGTATTTATTTCAGAACCTTACCATTCCTTTCATCGGGGTTTGTATAGGAAAGATCTGCCAAAGAATTGTTTTGGTAGCATATTCTTTGGGGAAGTAAAGGGAAGAATAAAAGGGCTAAAAGTATTTCATTTTCAGCTTATTACAATTAGTGCTTCAAACTATGCTTAGTCACTTGAGCCATGAGTCAATAGTAAGGCTATTGTATTTTAAATGTATATATATATTTTTTTGTTGTTGTTGTTGTTCTCCAAGAAAACTTATCTAGTTTCCCACCTCATGTCTATTGCTCTGATAAGATTATCCCTCCTTTTTAATTTATTGTACAAATATAATAGTAAAAAAATAAGGAAGAAAAATTACAGTTCCTTCACATCAATTATCATTTGTATTTTGTGTTTCTTTCCAGTATTTGTCTTTGTAAATATGTATTCTAAAGTACTTGTAAGTAGTCACTCAGAGTATAATGTAATTTTGTCTTTGGTGTTTTAAAATTTGGCAACCAGACAAGGGAGTCTCACAGGAAAATTAGAAACAAGTGATAATCTGGTGTGAGGATAGGAAGACAAAAAATAAGTGAGGGTAGTAACTGAACCCATCCCTGTGTCATTATCCTCCCACCCCCATCCTCAAGCCACCCAGCTGCTAATGTAAGTAAAGTGGTAAGTTGAGGAAGGCATCATGCCAGGTTGCAGAGTTTTAAAATGTATTATTTAGCAGTAAGATTTAACTCACTATAAATGAATGGGCCTATGAGGAAGGGGAACCCTTCAAACTGATTATACTATAAACTGTAAAACTATTGCCTTTTTTTTTTTTTTGATTCCCACTTGTGTCCATAAAAGGTGTGTCTGGGCTGGAGACTTAAGTGCAGAGGGGAAACAAGAAGCCAAGTACTAATCTTAGTTTGGTCTGAGAGGTGAATTTTAGCACCTCTCTAAATTCAGCTCTGTGCTTGAAAGGATCTAAAGGATGCATAGAGGGATAATAAAATCTTTTAGAAACATACTAGTTAATCTGCTAATGTGATGGAAGTTGAATGGAAAAATGAATGCAAAAAATTACAGCTGGATTGTATGCCGCAAGTTTATTATTCAATAAATATTCTGTGGTTCGATGTGCTGTATTGTATTTTTAATATATTTGGATTAGAAAAACAATCCTAAAACATTCTGTAAGATTCAGACAATTGAATTTAGAAGGTGATTGACTCCATTAAAAGATTTTTGGCCTCAATAATGTCCCTCGGCCATTTTTCTCGAAAGCGAGCCATTCCTGGTCTACAGAGGAAGAAAAACAAACACCAAAAGCTTTTAAAATTTAAAAAAAAAGTTGAACCAGGGATTTACTGTTATATTCCTAGTGAGCAATAAGCCATTTTTTTTTTTGCCAGGGAGAGAGTAAGTAGAGAGCGTGGCAGGGTTCTCTCTATTCGTTACTGTTTTTGGGGCCCAATCAACAAAAGGATTAATGAGCTTACATGTAAAGATCTTTAAGAGAGCTATATACAGATAAAGGGATTATTTAATACATGATATAATTCCATGTAATTTTGAAGTTTCTTATAGAAACAATAGACATGACCAGCTTTTTTACCCACCCTATTCCAGCAAATAATCCTCAAGTTTCTAATTATTATTATTATTTTTTGGTGGTGCTAGAGATTGAACCCAGGGCTTTGTGAATTCTAGGCAAGCACTCTACCAAATGAGCTATATCCCCAGCCCCTCAAGTTTCTAATTATTGCAAAACCAGACACTAAGGAAAAGATGTTCTAGACCAATGGCAGAATTCTAGTTTTAGTTCATTCTAATAGGGTAGGTCCAAAGAAGATAAATGACTATTACGTGAATTATCTGGCTGTGGGTCTTCTGGATTCCTGGAGTATAATAACCTTTTCCCCACCCTTTCAAAATATGTCTCCAAATGTTCATTACCTTAGAACTAATGAATGGCCCTCAAAGATATAAGAGACATCAATGGGTGTATCCTAAGAGAAAGAAGGACAACTGTCAGCGTAGACTGAACATACCAACTCTTAATTCCCTCCCTATTCTTCTCTAGATATATACTCTTGAATTTCCAGAATTTGTTCTACTTATAAGGTGAGAACCTCTAAGTGGTAGTTCTTTGTCACTTTAAATCTATCTGAAAAAAAGATCTTTTTGGCAAAAAATATCTTAAGAATTGCCACAAAATTGAAGACAGGTTGTCAGAGGATTGTGCTCTTTATTAATAGGAGCCTGAGGAGTTCATTTACTTTCTTTACATGCTTCAGTTTACTCAGCTGACAATCTCTACCTCTGAAGAATGACATCAAATGGAAATAATATAAATGAACAAGATTTGAAAACAGAACGAAATATAAGTCATAATGTCTCAATGTTCCCCTCCCACTCTGACCTCCAAAATGATGCCTGGAATATTGAGCAAGAGCCCTCTTCCCAAGACTATCTATATATTGTCTCCAGTGTGGTCTGGATCATTTCCACCAGCCTTACTTCAAAATCTCTTGACTTTCAGAGCAAGACAACTGATGGAGGGATATATGACCAGAATTGAACTCTCCATCTATTGTACCTCTTTAGATTACTCCAGCTAAAGATACATGTGTTCTGGAATAGAACGAGTAGGGGACATAGCTGGTTCACTGACGATATCATTCATATATAAAGCCTTAAAGTCAGATCAGAGCTCAGGCAACTTTTGAGAAAGGATGGGAAGACAAAGGGAAAATAACACTTTTCATGTCTGTTATGTTCCAGGCATTATGCTTGGTACCAGCCCTGCTCCTCTGAGGACCTTTCTCCTGTAATCATGGGTGTTGTTTTGGCTCCTTTCACACCAACTCTCAAGTCAACATGCTATTTGTGGTCTACCTACTGGCTACAAGCAGTCATTCCTTCAAGATTTTTTTTTTGCCAGGTCTTGTTTTTCAGCAAGACAAATGGCCTGCCCTTATAGAACTTACATTCTGGTGGAACAGACAAGAACAAAATAATTGATGATATAGAATATTTGAAGGTAATAAAATGTAATGAAGAAAAAGCATGGGGGATGGGATGGAACAGAAAGAAAGTGCAGGAGAAAAGGTGAGGGGGTAGAAAACTACACAATGCATGCACTTAGAGGAGAGTATTCTAGTCAAATGGCACAGCAAGTGCAGAGTCCCTGAGGCAGGACTATACCTGGCTTACTTGAGAAGCAGCAAGATCAGAGGGGTTGGAACAGAGTAAGTTAGTGGAAGGGGAAAGCAGATAAAACAAGGGACCAGATCACACAAGGCCTTGTAGCCATTTGATATGCAAATATAAGTCTCTGGACCTGCAGTGTGAGCACTGCCTGGAGACTTGTTAGTGATGCAGAATCCCAAGTTTTACTCCTTACCTGCTGAATCAGAATCTCCATATTACCAAGTACTTTGTATGTGCTTTAGAATTGGAAAAGCACTTTTGGAAAGTTTTAAACAGAGGAGTGACAGAAATTCACTTGATGAGGTTCACTGGCTGATTGCTTTATAGAAAAGAGGCACATTGATGGCAAGAACAGAAGCAGAGAGACTGGTTTGGAAGCTGTTGAAATCATCTTGGTGCAAGAGGATGGTGTCTTGGAAGAGGGTGGTACAAATGGACTGGTATGAAATTGTGGGGCACTGGGTATGTTTTTGAAGGTAGAGTCAGCTGGATTTCTTAATGGATTGGTTGAGGAGTGTGAGAGAAAAGAAAGGGTCAAGGATGACGCGAAGAATTTGGCTATCAGCTGAGACAAGGAAGACTGCATGTAGCTCAGATTTGGAATAGAAAATTGAAAGTTTAATTTTAGACACAATAAATGAAATATTTATTATACCTCTGAGTGGGAGAGATCTGGACTTGGAAACCACAAGCTCTTGGTGACATTTTTCAAGACTGATCAAGATAACTATGGAAGTGAGTAAAGAAAAAGGATTTAAGACTTGAGTTTTGGAACACATCACATGTAGAAGTTGGTGTGAGGCAGAGATAGCAATGGAGACTGATAGAGAATGGATGGTCAGTGAAGCAGGATAAAAACTAGAAGAGTGTATTCTTCTAGAAACCAAGTGGGAAGTTTCATGGAGGAGGGAATAATCAGGTAGGACAAGTGCTGCAGATGGGCCAAGTAAGATGAGGACAGAAATATGATAATTAAATTTTGCAAAGAGGGCATCATTGATAAATTTGACTAGAGACATACATCTCCATTCTCCTTGAAGCTTCACTGTGGGGAACAGAGCACCAAAAGAAGAGCTTACCGGAGGTTTGCTTTTGGTGATCTTGATGGTGAAGTAGGCAGCAGCACTGACTCGCGGCATGGGTACCTGAGCTGTTGGGATGCTCCAACGCACGCAGTAGATATAGCAGAAGGTGTGACTTAACTCTTCCTTCTTTATAAACTCTGTGTAGTGCACCCAGCGGCTTTGGTACTCCCAAGTCTGCTTCATAGAAAAAAGAAAGCTCACAGACAAAGAAAGGCAGACTTCTACTCAAGCACTTTAAGCAGTGCATAACAGTCAGGGTTGCAGCCCTGTTCCGGAGTCCTTGCATTTTTTTTATTGGGAGTCAAACTAGAGTCAACTCTCAGTTATCTCCACAGTGGGGGCGTGAAAAGGTGAAGCTGAAATGAAACAAGAAAAGAATGCACATATCACTTGAAATTGGGCTTTAGACTGGAGGGGCACACCCTCTGAAGTGTACCTGTACATATACACAGCCACAGGCTGTTCCACACCCTTACTTGGGTGTGTAATTGGAGTTGTGGTTAATTGGAAAATAATTAAAGAGTGATTAGAACATGTGTTCTGCTTGCCCCATCTCAGGAGACCTACAGGTGTGACTAGAAAGGAATGAGGCTGGTTTCCACCATTTGTGAAAACTGGACCCTTGATCACAGCTAGAGATGGTTTATAAAATAAGAGCAGAAGAAGAAGTCAGGCAATAGGATAATCCATATCCCTCAGAAAGGGATGATGCTGTTGCACCATAGGAAAAGCTTCTCCTTCCCAAAGCACTAGTGGAGTCAATAAACAGAAGACCTTAGAATATCTAACACTCATGGGATCTGTTTTCTGCCTCTCTTATTGCATTTGACACTCCCCTCTATACTCTAGTGATGAGAAGCAGTGTTCACTGTAGTATCCATATTAAACATTATGGCAGGATCAAATTATCCATAATACATAATGGGCATAGCATTTGGGACCCACAATACATTGAAAGCCCACAAAACTTTTTTTCTTTTAAAATCAGAAGAAATGGGCACAGTGGTGCATGCCTGTAATCCCAGCAACTCAGAAGGCTGAGACAGGAGGACCACAAGCTCAAGACCAACCTCAGCAACTTAGCGAGGCCCTAAGCAACTTAAACCTTGTCTCAAAATGAAAAATAAAAAAGGGCTAGACAGGCGCAGTGGCACACACCTGTAATCCCAGCTGCTCGGGAAGCTGAGACAAGAGGATCATGAGTTCAAAGTCAGCCTCAGCAAAAGTGAGGTGCCAAGCAACTCAGTGAGACCCTGTCTCTAAATAAAATACAAAATAGGGCTGGGGATGTGGCTCAGTGATTGACTGCCCCTGAGTTCAATCCCTGGTACCAAAATAAAAAGGGGGGGCTAAGGATGTGACTTACTGGTTAAGTACCCCAAATTCAATCTCTAGTACCCCAAAAAAAATAATAAATAAAAATAAAATGAGAAGAAAGAAATGAACTTTCAGGGCTGATGTCATCTTTATAATGATGTTGTCTTAAACTAAAAATTTGAGGAAGGATCCCACAAAAGGAAGAGGGCAGCCTGGACTGGAGGATGACTCAGGAGGGTTGCTTGAGTCCAGGAGTTCAAGACCAGTTTGGGCAATGTGGCAGGATGCCATTAAAAAAAGTATAGTGTATATATGGGAGAATAGTGCATAGAAATCATAATGCAACCCTGATTCTTAGCACAGGACCTGAATGTAATAGATATTCCACAAGTTAAATTCAGGCTGGGGATGTAGCTCAGTGGTAGAGCAGTTGCATAGCATGTAAGAGGCCCTGTCCATTACCAGGGCCACAAAACAACAACAACAACAACAAAATACTCCAACTGAATCCCCTTGGGCTA